TGCCGACCCTGCCCCCCGCCCCCGGGTGCACCGCGCGTGCCCTTGCTGGCCCTGGCGCTGGCCTTGGCCCCAGGGGCGCCGCACGGAACCTGGGCAGCCCCTGCCCGGGATCGCAGCACATGCCAGTGCCGACCTCGGGCGTGTGGCGCATGCTTGGCCCCGCCCCCAGTCATGTGGCCTGTGAGTGGCCCCGCCCCCGTACACGCAGCACGTGAGCGGCCCCGCCCCCAGGCACCCGGCAGCCCCAAAACGTTGGTGACCACTGGTTTATATCAATTGTAATCAGCATGGGGCATTGCAGGCTAGCTTCTGAAAACCACAGTTGACGTAAACAATACAGTGTTTACACTGACACTGTGTTATCTTGACTCTATGCTGCTCATGAAGATGGAGTTTTTAAGTTGGCATAACAGAACACTTATATTGCTGAAAGCAAAATTTAAGTGTAGACACTTCCATAGTTCTGTCAACAGAAGTTGCCTTGCATTGACCTCATTCTGTAGTGTAGCCCAGACCTAACATAAAGCAGGCAATGTAAGTTATGCTGCTTTACCATCTGCACTCTCATAGATTGCTTTTCTGACTGATTTAACCCATCATTTACATGACTACGGGATGTGTCCTAGATCCTTCCCCTGGCAATACACCATTTTACTCTAATTTGAATTCGGCTGATCATCGTTATCTGACCAATTTCCATTTCCTTCAGTTAGTGACTGTAATTGGCTACACTGCTGTATTCAGTTCCTACACGCCACTAATAATCTTTGTACAAAATATGCCATGTAAGGTGTCATTTGAAAATGAATAGTTTGCTGGTCCATCATGTCATTGTGAAATGTATGTAGCAACGTTATAGGCATAATTAGGAACATGAACTGAAATAATTACTGAAGTGCGTTTACCAGACAAGTCTGGAGAGTGGGCACACCTGTTTCTCAAAGACAAAGGACAAGCTGATGCATCTAGTCAGATGTCATCAGAATTGATGGGCAAGCACCTGGCCATTCTTTGGCAAAGAAGCAGAACAGGAACAAACACATCTGCATCTTAGCAAACATGGAGTCTCTTTCACCACCAGACTTCTTTTCTTCATCCACAGAGTGGGAATGAACTTTATGTAAAGGTAACCCTCATGCAAATGCATTTCAAAAAGTCACTGAACTGTAACAGGGAGGGACAAAAGCGTCACAAGGAATCTCTCCCTATCCATCTCTCCACACCTTGTTACACTAGAGTGTTTACAGTGGTGCAGAAACACATGCTGTCAGCTGTGGGCATTCTGCTAATTAGCTGGCTGGCATTTGAATCTCTGCTGGGCAGCTGCCCAAGTGCTCAGCTTAGAGGGAACATTGTTCCCGGCTTCCCAGAAGCTTCCAATGTTGAGCTGAGAACCCAGGTTCCCAGTCTCCTAAACTGCCCCTATTCAGTCAGTGGAAGTCAGTCCTGACAAGGATATACACCACCGACAGGAGGACTGTAGTGTGGACACAACCACCACAGTAATTAATATAGTCATTGAAAGTTGATCTAACATAATGCATATCTACAGTTACGTTTTACTGTAGCTATGCACCTAATGGTTAAAGCACTCACCTGGGATGTGCCCCAGGTTCTCTTCCCCTCCTCTGCCCCATGTAGAGAAGGGATGTGAATAGAGATTCACACCTGCCACAGTAGCATACATTAATCACAGAGCTATGGCATATCCTTGATTGAGTCTCTCTCAATGTCTCTAATTGAAGTTGTTCTACTTGGTATAAATAATTAGATAGCCACTGGAGTAGGGACTTGGATTTGGGCCTTCTACGTGCTAAATGAGAGTCTGTTTATGTGTCCGTCTGGGTCCATTCAAGAACTCCTCCTAAAGGGTAAGAGCTAGCGCCACCAAATGTGGTAGGAAGCTTCCTCTTATCCTAACTTAGAGCAAGGTGACGGTTTGCTTGCGCCAGGACAATGAGTGGTGCCTGGAATGTGATTGTTTGTCATCAAATGGAAACGGAGGGCTCTGATAGCAGGAACAGTTATACTCTGGAATAACCACAAGGAACCAGCAAGTATGGGGGACAGTTATACCTCACAATGATCACAGGGGGCCAGCAAGCATTTCAGGCCTGGGGAACATCCACTGACTGGCCTGTGCGACCCCCGCCACCCTGGTCTGCCCCAGACAGCAGCCACTGGCTGGCCAGCACAGCTCCCACTGCTTGAGGCCAGCCTCAGGGAGCAGCCACCAGCCTTTATCCAGCTAGCACCCTTCATTGTGCACTGAGTATGCACTGTGCACGATGGCCCAGGGAACCTGGCTGTAGGGACTTCAGTGACTTGGTCAGTGAGGTGTCTCAACAGACAAGCGTGCCTAGAGGGTGGAGCAGCCCCATGCTGCCTGGGGGCAGGACCCAGAGCTTGGCAGGCAGGTGAAGAGAGTGCTCAGCCCTTGCCCAGGGAGCTGCTGTAGAGCTTACAGGTTTGGGGCATGAACAAGCTGGAAATGGCTTCTCTACCTTCCCTCCACCTCCACCATCACCACTGCAAAGCTTAACTGAGGGGCAGAGAGGTGACATGTGCCAGCACTGTGTGGGGCTTTGACACATGTATGACCCATGACTGATGTAGGGGAGACAGGAAACACAGGACAATTTGCATAGTTTTAAGAAAAAAGTAAGCACACCTGCAGGAGGAGTTAAATATAGGATGGTCTATAGGCCAGAAAAGCCTCGCTCAGGAGGGAGCTTAGGCTGTGGGGAAGGAGAGTTATGTTTTATTGTTGTCAAAGTTAACATTCAAGATAAAACTCTGGTAAACAGTGATTTTTGGACACTATTCCATGAATGTATCTGTATTGTGGCAAGGAAAGATCCTGATCATTCATAGGCCCACAGCCAGCCTAGGAGACATTTACTGGTAGGTGTGCAACTAAAGATCAAACACATACTGGAATGAACGGTGAATAATAAATGCATTAGTACTAAGAAATGTGAGGCAAGGCCTGTTGATTTAACATTGTTTGCCTTCTTTGCAGCTTGGCGTACTTCTGGTTCTTTTGCAAGCACGTGGATCTGCATCTCCATTTACTGGTCATGCAGACAAATAATGATGAGTAAGGTTTACAACTGGGTTTTGCTGCTGCTGTCTTGTTTTGCTTGAGCTGGCACGGCATGCTAAAAATGCTATGGAACCAGCTTCTGTCAACATTGGTTGCCAAGTAATGGTAGGTGGATCTTCATTTATCTGGGCCGGCAACAAGAAGGTGTGGAATACAGTGGTAAACTTGCTGCTGTAAATTAAACGGACCTCTTTCAGCTGAGGCATGAACCCCTGAGTAGGGCTCTATTTACATCCAATTTGGTTACACATCAAATGCAAAGCACTGAGCTGAATACTCATCTATTAATAAAGTTAGCTAGAATCCTGATCAAGATTTTAAAACATATCTAATGACTTTGAGTGTTGAACCTGAGGCAATTTAAAGGTGCCTAATTTTTTTAAAGTGCTTTTCACCTGCCTTCTGAAAATCAAGCCCTTTTAAAATGTTTAAAGTTGGGCACCTAAAAATTATAGTCACTTTATTTAAGCTGACAAAGAGTTAATATTAAATATAACCTACATATTTTACATTCTTTCCACCCTATTAGGAAACAGTTATAAAGTGTGCATCTATAAATGCTTTACAGATCAAAATGCGGTCTATTCATATTCAGCTGTTTTTCCATTAAAAACAAATGTTTCGTCAGAAGCAGAAGTATATACATGTTCAGATTTTCTCAAAGAGAAAATTTTCTGAAATAAATGGCTTATGCTGGAAAATATTTTAAGGCTGAACATTCAAAAGGTTTTGTTTATTTTTCCCCCAGATCAACATGTCACATTTAGAACTGGCCAAAACATTGCCAACTTTATTTTTAATGGAAATTGAATTTCTGACTAGGTGAACAATTTCACAGCAAGTATCTGATTTCCTAAAATAAAAATCTATTTGTGTCCAAAAACCTAAAATAAAGAGCTGCTTTTGGTCAAGATATTTTCAGTTTGGGGTACCTAAACCAAAACTGTTGGGGAGTTAGATTTTCAGAAAAAAAAACCCTATTTCCACAAATATTTTCCAGTCAGTTGTGGTTACA